AGGGTGGGGGGGGTTCTCTCCGTCTCATACCTTGCTGCATATGGGTTGCCCCATGTACATGTACAGTAGCCCTCCCGCAGTCTCTGTGTCACCTCCCTGCCACTCATTGTCAAAATTGTTGTCCTCCAACAAAGAAGAAACCCAACAATTCACACAAATCTGTTGGGATACGCGAAAGGGATAAAAAAAACATCTTGGCCTTAAAACCTAAGTGAGCCAAAAAACCTAAATTTCTCACTGGCCAAAACGATTTTTGCCCTTCTGTCGGCACTTTCCACATTTCAGGCAAAGCTTCATTGGAGTTGAATTGGTGGAAATATAAAAGCAATATTTATAAAACCATGTATATTTTGCGTGAATAGATAATTGAGCCTGAGATTTTTGATGACGGTGATCTTATATATAAACCAAATGCATAACAGAGGTTGTATGCCTTTTTTAACAGTACATATGACTTTTCTGCATTTTCCTTTTTTGGTGAAACGTTGGATGCTTCAGACCAACTGCCTCAAGAACAGAAACCAGCAGTATGTGATCTCTCTCTCCATTCTCCAATGTCGCTGCCACTTGTCTGACATTTGACGCAATTTGGCTGAAATAGCTTAAATCTGTTGCACTGTGTGTTTCCTTGTGTATCTTTATTGTTGCGCAGTATTTTACATTTTGACTATGCACTGTTGTAAGGTTGAACATTTCATTTAGGAAACCCTTTTGTTTTTCGTTGAAATGCTTTGACTGTGAACGTTTCTTTAAAGCTCAACCTGCAGACAGAGCTTTTTCTTTGTCTGGGATTACATTTGCTTTCATATATTGAATATTAAACCCCCGTCCCAACCTGCACCCTCTTAAAGTGTGTGCTTCTCTAACCATCTTTGTCAATGCAATATAACAAATGGTGATTCAGGTCACTCAGCGTCTTTTAGAACTAATTTTATAGTGTTTCCATTTCTCAACAGACATAAAAACGGTGCCAGAATCACTAAAGCGAACCTTTCTTTTTGTATTATTGACTCAAAATGCAACTTTCTGTTTTGAGAAATGAACATATTCCAGGCAATACTGTCACAGCAGGATTGCCCAGGATGTTGGCTCTAATCACAACCAAAAGGAAAATATTCTGAGACCCCTGGCAAGTTGACGTTTTCAAGGGGAAAATAGGCTAAAAATGTCAATTTTGTAAGTTCTCAAAACCTGCTTTTATGCAAGCTGTTAAACGAGCATAAGGGTGACACTTAAAGCAATATTTTTTGTCTCAAGCAGAGGTAAGGATGGCATTTAAAAGCGATATAAATGGATTTATGAAATATCTTTGCATTTTGGTTAGGTGGAGTTTTAAATGTAAAGTATCAACCAGTTTTTTCAGACCCCTAAGTCGGCCTAAAATGCCAAAACACAAAATGAGCTGTTTTCATGGCAAAAGGCTACGAATGGATTTGAAAAGTCTATTTGTTTACCTGTACCCCAAGTCTTTTCATCCTACAAATTATGAAAAAAAAAGATTTTTGACCAGTGACACATAATGTCTGGTATTTACGTGAAATGACTTTTAATAATTATTCCGTTGAGTAGGCCTAGAAAAGTATGATTTCTATAGCGTTTTTGTATTCACACTTACACTCCTGTCACCTTAAACGATGTAATCCTCACGTAAAATATTTTAAGTGCAAAATTTCGTGCTTATAGTTACATCATTTATCCATACATGTAGCTTCAATTGTCATCACAGGTGGTGCGAAGAGAAACGACTGCATAGTAAATGCAGACTTCGCAGCTTTTGTGTGTCGTTTCCTGAATTCGTCGACTGAAGCAATGAAGCTATCAGCTTACGAATACAAAGCACTTGGCTAGTCCCCACAAGTTCAATTTATAACGTCACCTGCCGCATGCAATCATTGTAAGATTTATAATAGAAAGTTCCTGTATTGCAACCATGGCAACGTTTACAATATGTGCGGCAAGCTGAACCCTGCTTAAGTGCACGTATATAGCTGATCACAGTTGCCCATGCAGGGGTGGATATCGTTTTGTTGAAAAAAGCTGTAGGGGAGCACTGCCACAGTGGATGTCAATTCGTCCATGACCGCAACAAGACAATACCCTGAAGTTAGTTTAGAAGTAGGGGGCCTATGGGTCCTATCATTTTTGTTCAGCAGTCGAGAACTTGTGGTTCACGTTTATGAAATTCACCCATTTTCTTTCTCGTCAAAATCGTCAGAAATCCGTCCAGTCGAGGGAAAATAGTTGTGGCTAGTGTGTGACAACAGGTGCCTAAACGTTTATCTACACATAGTTTCTGTGCTGTTACGGGGTGGGACGGCATTGGTCGCCCAACATGGGGCTAGCTGGCTGCTTCAGGGTTCTGCTATTCATTGAGAACTTCATCTTTTGGGTAAGCCATGTTGCGTTTGCCTCCTCCCCAGTATTATGCCACGTCTACCGCTTCGTCGCTCTTTCTAATTTGGGAGTTTTACCATGTATGACTCCCTTTTGGGTCAATTGCCGTTTGTCATTCCGTCTTTTGGTCTTTTGCCATCAAACGCATAAGCATGCTGAGTCATGTGATCAAAAACTACTCACTCTTATTGAAAACTATAGGCCTACTTGTCGATTCGAGATATTGGCTTCAGCTTTTGGATTTTTTTTTCATAATTTTAATGTTGCAACGATGTCATCCCAGCCACTGATACTCATGGGGACAAAGAAATGAAATTTGATCATTTTAATGATCGCACAATTGTATTTAAAGTTCCACCGAACTTTGTCGCCCCAGGAGAGAATTTTTCCTTCATTAAGCTTGGCAAAGATTACAGGAGATTGAACCGCAACAGTGGTCCACTAAAATGTATTCTCCCGTAATGGAATGTCATTATTGCTTGATATCAGAGTGAATCAAAAAATAAAAATCCAAAATTAATTTGGTTCCAAAGTTATTAGGAGTATATAATTCAAAGGAATGATGGAAAATCACTTTTACGAAATTTTGTTTTAGAGGTCCCAGTTACAGTAATAGTACACCACAGAGTCAGAATATATCATTTTTTGTCTCTTCGCTAGGACCAGGGCTTTCCAATTTAAAATTTATTTGGAACTTTATACAGAGAAGAAAACCGTTGATCTAGCCCCCCCCCCCGTCGTCACATGCAAGCAACTGTCATGCTAAGCCGCAGATTTCAGGTGAATTTGTAGGTATATCTTCAAGCATCGGAGTTTTCAGGTGAAGCTCTGTAGCCGTGTGACTTGGTTAAATGTTACCCCGAAATGCAAGGTGGTTAACCAGCCCCATATGTAATGATATCACCGCTAGCTCAGTATGTAGCAGACGGATCCGTGACCCTGCGGGGCAGTGGGCCCGAGTACCGGTCGTTTCCCTAAAGTCTCCCAGCGCGTCATTATTGTTTCTCTGAACTGAGGGCGTCGATCGGCCAAAATAAAAGAATTTCTTGTTTTGTTTCTTGTTGTTTCAGCCCGTTTCGGCACACGATGGTTGAGGATTAAATCTCAGCTGAATTGAGCTGATTGGGATGGGGGGACGCAATTAGCACCATACCCTCTTCGAAAGCGTAGTTTTAAAGTGTGGGGAGAAAAACATTTTATTTTCTTTCCCTTCCCAAGGCCCCACTCCCAAAATGTAGCCTCACATCTCAGAAAAATCGCAAAGCCTAAAAAAATATATTCCCAGAATTGGTTCCCTCAACCCCTCCCCCCAATCGTTTTGCGTCCACACAATGTTTGTTGTCGTCAGTATTGTGATGAGATATTGGGTGTTATCTCTGACAAGATTTTTCTTCCTCAAAGCCTGTAAAGGGGTGTTTCGTTTTCTGAAAATTCAAATGATCAGCGTTATTAAAGGACCGTGCCATGAAACTCGATTTTTTTCAGTGTTTGCATGCCCTGTGCATCCGATTTACCGTACAATCTCCGTGTTGCCGTTTGTCCAAGCTGATTGATGCAAATTTCCCTCACCAAAGAGTGAATTCATCTTGGGCAAAATGATTTTTTTTACTTGCTTCATTGTCGGGATTTTGCCGGTTTTGTGTTTGCAGTGGCGTAAATCTGTGCAGGAAAGGGGGAGGGGTTGGGGATGGGAGAGGTGGGGGGACACAATATGACTCTAGATGTGGATATGTATGATGTTTTTATATATCTGTAATTATGTGTTCAAAAGGGCATATTTATGGCTTTTTAATTAAAATTGTTTTCCCTTTTAGAGTGGTATTGAATGCATTTTAGTCTTAAAAAGTCTCAAGAACTCTTCACAACGCACTAATATTTGCTGAACACAAAAAAGTGTGTGGGGGGATGATTCAATAGCCCACCCCCCTCTCAAAAATTTGTGGGGATATATGCCCCCATCATCCCAGGATTTACGACCAGGCATGACTGTCTGCAGTTATTGAGGAAATTGTGCACCGTGCTTTCATCAACCTCGATGGACAGCCAATGACGATGACACAAGAGCAATTAGACTCAATACTGTCGTTACAAGAACACCCCCATTTGTAACGACCAGAATGGGTCATAATATTTTGAACAGGAAACATGCAGGTACATCAAAAGGATGTCTCATTATTTCATACTCTTTAGAAGAACGGATTTTGCATAAATCATTCTTGTCATTGAGTCTTTAACATAAACAGAAACGCGTATCGGTGGGAATATATTGCTTTCGTGTAGAAGAAGCAAAATCATGGAGGAAAAGAATAAAAACACACTGGCTTCCTGACAGTATTAAGTATGATCGATGGGCTGCAGAGCTCAACGGGCTGGGTTTTACACCGATCAAAGTAAACACTAATTTACTGATTTTGCGTCAAGGTTTTCGGCGCTGCGGCATCGACTGTGTTGACCACTGACAAACGCTTTTGTATGTCTGTGCGGTCGACGCATCTTTTTGGAATACAGATGTAGACATGCAATAGCTGTGTACAGAAGCCGTACGTCAAGTTTTCAAAAGGTTTGTGCCATCATAATGGAGATCAGTGGCACAAACAATGATGCGCCCAGCAGGCCTCACTTTGTACCCAGCAGCTCTATCCAAAATGAATTACATACAAAAATGCGGTTGTGAAATTTGGTGATAAACACTTTGGAGCAAAGTCGTCCGATTTCGTATGCATGTCTTTCGATGAATAGGTTCTGCTAAATTAAAAGTCGTCCCCTTAATGCAGTTGACAGCTCCGAGTCCCAAATCGACTTTCATCATCCCGGTGTATAGTCTGACTGTGGAGCTGAAACCAAACGGGGCAAAAACTGATAAATCTCTTTTCCAACAAGTAAGCTAAAACCTGAATAATCAGCAAAAGAATAATCAGAAGATGTCGATGGATAATTGATGAGGCATCCTGAAATGGCAATGAGCGTGTCACATGGATCGTCACTTTACAGAGGCTATCAGTCAAGATTTGAACCCATTTACAAGAGGTAGAGCGAAATTAAGTTTACTGTCGTCGTGCTTCACGTCGTGTATGGTAATGTTTGCCATGTTTACCCAGACAAAAATTGCAAAATTTATTGCGACGACTCGAAGTGAAACAGGGCAACATAAGTTCAGGGGCTGTCAGCCTCGAGAAAGCTAGTACAATATATAAATACACTTGCACAAGCGTCCACCGGAATTTGTGCATGTTTACATTTCTTCAAAAATCATCAACCGTCGTCGGAGACGAAGAATCTGTGATTGCCAGCAGGATATTGCCCACTCCTCTATACCTTGTTCATTATTAGAAAATAGGACCTCAGTCGCGGAAATGCTGGTTTACATTTTATTCAGAAATCATGAACCGTCAGGGACGGCGATTCGTTGATTGCCAGCAGGATATTATGAAATTACCCACCCTTTTGTACCTCCTTATAGGAACTCACTCACAGTAGGTCTACAGTCTTAAATACCATTGTCACAAAAGGACTTTTTTCAGTGCAGACCCCTTTATTTTCAAAATGTAATGAAACAAACGCAATCTAGCTCCGGATATTGGACCTACGCTGTGTTGGCCGGGGACACCGAAATACTCCCAGCATGTGAACTAGGTTGGCTCGCCCCTCCATGACATCTTTCGTGACGTCAAATTCGCTTCGCTTTCATATTCGTCTGCAGTATGAACCGGCTTTACGGGCGTTAATCGCGACGTGCGAAAATGCGATCCACAACCAGGCCCGCCATAACTGGTGCATGTACATTTGAATTCGTGGTTGTTTTAGGTCTGTATACATTAAGCTAAATCATATCAAGGGGTGTGAAAATGTCTGACCGCGGCTGCCCATTGGCTAGTTGGTTAATTTGTAATTTCTTCCTCGACAGCTGATTGGCACAGCCTTAATCATCGTCGGAGCTTATGTCCTTGTCGCCCCAGAGCTCCCGGCCTTTCTGAAGATTCTAGAAGGAACACAGGTGAGGCAGGGAAAGTGATTTTATTTCAATGACCTCTCTGAAATACTTGGATAATTGGGTCGTTAGCCTGTGGTTTGATGTTCCTGTAATAAGGTGTAAATAATTTAATTATTGTCTGGCTAACAAGTTCAAAATCAAGGTTAAAATTCAGGCAAAGCCCAGAGAACAAATTATTAATTTATTATGAATGAAAACGACTCATCCCTGGATTCGGCACAGTATATCAGTCGGAGGTTAGATGTCGTGTTCCCGGCAAAAGGGCGTAAGAAACACTTTCTCTTTATGTAGTAAAAACAGATAAAATTTACTAAAAATCAACACAAGCTGTAAAAAAAAGCAACCTTTGAACAACTTATTAAACGACTTGAGAATTTTGTTTTAAAAACTGTTTGCAACGAAATTCTTATATTTCATTAATTAAGATGAAACAGCTGCATACATACGTCCTTTTGCCGGGAAAGTTTTTTTTTCAGTGATCATGCTTCCCGCCAAGAGGGCGTAAGCGCTTGACGAGAGTGTGTTCACAACGAACGTGAACGCCGACCCTCTCGTTTTTTACTAATCCAATTATCAAAAAAATGAGCTCCCAATTTGTAATTGATTAATTTCGGGAAACTTTTGACACTTGCTTTGAATTTACATACTAAATAACCAATGAAACGGGGTTTATTAACACCTATATGTTTTTATAATATTTATCTCTTTGGAGCTAAGGAGAAGACTCAATTCCTGAGGGGGTAATTTTCACAGTGGTGAAACTTTCAAAATGGTTTAATTCTCTTTTTGATTTTTGGTTTCAGGTTATTTGCTATGTTGCTATCGGAGTGGGCGGTTGTCTCTTTATCATAGGTAAGTGTTCTTTAATTAAATTAATATAGGTTTTCCCGGCCAATTTCAGAAAATGCGCGATCTAATTTGTAAAATGACATTTCAATTTAGCGTAGATTTTGAAAACGACCTAGTTTCATTTTAGCAATAACAAGCGTTCGACTTCGTTTTGCATCCTTCATATCTATGAATATGCATTACGTTTCCTTAAAGAGGTTACAAATACGTGACTGGGATTTTGGATTGAAGTATTCCTTGCCAATTACAACAAATTAATGTGCATTATTATTCGCTGAACATCTGTCTTTTATACTGTGACCCTTCGAAAGTGAGTGTTAATTTCATTTGCTGTAATTTAAAATCACAAAATATATGTTCAATTTGATTAGAATATACAAGGTTACACAAATCGTGACACCATTTGACAATATATTTCCTGTTACTCATGTAGAGTTTGTAATCAAACTGTAAAAAAAGAAGGTTTCTTTGATTGAAACGCAGCACAAGAAGGACGATTCCCTAAGCGCCGATGTTTATAGGTTTCCCATAGTCGGTAGGTTCCAATGACAACATGAATGGTCTATTTCAGTCACGAATATTCAAACATTTAACCAATCAACTAAACATTTCTAAGAATTTAACTTGTGTTGGCACACAAGTGAATTCAAATTCTTGACCAGGCATACGTTAAATAGTACTTCGCGCGAAATCGCCAGCACATTTTGCAAAATAGATTGAGTTAAATTTAAGATGAATGCAGGATTGCAGAGGTGCATTCAATTTCGCGCCAAAATGAATGCCAAACTAGTGCAATATCGGGAAATTGAACGCCGACTCTATACGACTGAATTTACCCTCTTCGAAATAGAATTGTCTTTGTTAAACAGAAACGGGGATTTGAGTGTTCGTTCATTTTCGTTCGAAAACGAATGCATGGTATTACTAATTCATTGACACATTTTTGGCCGAGAATTTAATTCACATGAGCTTTTGTATTGAAAGTGATTTTTTTTGGGGGGGTTGAACATTTAGCTCTGGTGAGGAGTAACTTTAATCTTAAAGATGTAAGGCATAGACCTCACTCAAAATGGGGTCGCTTCCTGTAGAGGAATTTCAGTCACGTGATCTTTGACGGTCAATGTTCAATTTACACAAATGTGCGTGGAAACGCGCGCACATTCCAAGTCTCTCAGCATTCTGTCGTACATGAAAATTGCCAATCGAAAATCGCACATTCGCAAAATTCCTGCGCCGCCACGGACTTGGAACGTTTCCTGAACTGCCTTTGGCCGTCAAGTGACGTCATGTGGGAAAACCATTGCTTCGTGCATCAGGATTTTGAGCGTCAATTTTTCGTGACGCACATCAACTGTGCCGTGTTACGAAGATAATTGGATCAATACGCACGAATGAATGGAACATTTTGCACTCTGCATACACGCGTCAGTCCTGATTGCGCGATTTTGCAGTAAGTTTCAGTTTCCTCCATAGATGGCATCTTCGGAGAGAGATCTATATTGTCGTTTTCATCGGCCGTCATTAAGTACGATATTTAAACTTGCAATTTTACTTGCAAATGCCATAGAGTGAACATTTAAGGGATGCGTTCCCTACCAGCTTGAAGAGTACGGGATTTAGAAACCGTCCTCCAGTGATGATTACATTTGGCTTTTTCTTTGCAGGCTTTTTGGGCTGTTGTGGTGCCTTCAAAAAGAACCCTTGCCTCCTGAAGACAGTGAGTACAGGAGACACTGAGACTCATGGTGGCCGCTGACACGTGAGCCCCGCGTGACTGGTCGGCTCTTGCTTGCATGGCACTTGGCTAATGAGCGCATGCTCAAATTGATGCAAACAATGTCAGACTGGTCACATGGGACCGGTATGTTTGCCGGGACTGATCGTCTTAAAAGACTCTCATTGTTGTTTTCGATGTTGTATTTTGTAAGAGGACTTATCAGACACTTCAAGGGTGAAAGCAAATAATAAATAAGTGAAGATGCGCATGCATACGAGTTACTGTCAGTCGGCAAACCTATCCCGTTAAAGAGTATTGAGTCTGGCTTAGAAGATTTTTGTCTTTTTCAGCCATTGATACCCAAACGCGACCGCGCCATATCTTCGGTTTTAAGGCACCTTTCCATATAATATCTGCGTGTTTTTGTAAAGTATCCGGTTCGGTATTCGCATCTATTTTTGGCGTTTCATTCTTTTATAGTGCATCCTCTCCGCAACTTGCGCAGACGGACCCTGACACACGCTGAAATAGCGTCTGTCTGGTTCGCAAGTAATGATTTGCACGTTAACTTAAGGTTCGAAATCCGTGGTTTCATGTAAACGGCGATCATTGCATGTAACTATGTGCAGTGCATGTGCAGTGGGTGTGGTTTAAACTGAGGTGGCGTCTCACTTACAAACTGGATTGAAAGGCGTCTTCAGTCGTCAATTTCCAACAAAGCATAGTGTGGGACTGAAGAATGATTTACCAACAACGATGTCGTTTGCAAGAGTAAACTCAAAACCACAATGTAAACAATACTCTTCCCTTCTAAACATTGCACAATATGAGATCAATCTTTTGGTATAAAATTAGTATGTGTTTGTGTGAATGTACCGTATCTTTATGGGCGTTGTAGCAGCGGGGGGAGGGAGAGCTCTCTCTCCCCTAAAATAGGTCGACAAAGTGAAAACGGGGCAAAATCTGAAACAAAATGAAAGTAGCCAATTTGCTTGTTTTGAAAACAATTGACCCTGGTTTTTCAATTCGTTGCGGATGGGTGTTTGCTATTCTTAGAAATTTGCCCCCAAATGCCAAGATAGGTACCAGTACATTTTCCGCAACACTCGATAGCTATTACACGATACAAATACATTAGGCAGCAGCTGTACTCCATACCCAGATCTGCGGTTCAAAGGAACAGTGATCTTCCTGGGGGCGGAAACATGACACCGTCACAATCGCTGTTCGCCTTCATGGAACAAAAGCAAGGTTGCGCCTGTGTTTAAGACTCTTTCACGTCACTGTATGCCACTTATAAATAGCTTCTATGAATGAAGGTGGCCAATGCTAGTCACTCAATCACAGCTTCTAGCTTAAACCAGACATACGATTTCCAATAAAAACAGCGCTTGTGTCTCATCAGAACAGAAAGAAAGTAAACCAAACAACACAAGTATAAATTAAACAACTCAACAACCCAACAAACAAACAAACAAACAAACACCCCTAACACCCCAACAACCCAACAAACATTCTTTTTCAAAACCATGTCACTGTAACAGGTTTACACGCATGAAGCACAAACAACTGTCACAAGTCATGATTCGTATTTGTTTCTGTCCATGGTTTTCTCCATAGTATGCTGGCATACTGATAATCCTTGTCATCCTGGAGGTTACTGGAGCCATCCTCATCTGGCAGTTGGAAGAAAAGGTGGGTGAAATTTTTTCATCATGTACAGGAAAGGGGAGAAACTAAGTTTGGTCGATGGCTTTTCTAAGGGTCCCTGCAATGATTTTTTTCCTTTGACACACACACTTCCTTCTATCTTTATATGTATAAAAACTGCTTGACATCTTTTCGGGAGTTAAAGAGTAGTGAAAACTGCCCTTTTAAAAATCACTTCGAAATTGTCCAAGCCTCATTGGACCACAGACGGCACTGTGATCATTCACAGAATACACACTGATCAGTATCTTGTCCCTTTTTGGATCAAATTGTGAACCCAAAAAAGTTGCTCATTGAAAACATCCATGAAAAAGTTTTCTCCTTTCCAGTGGCTCATTCTCCAGTACTTTCACGATTGCAAAGAAAGGGATATTTACAACGGTAAAATATCAAAAAATAACTGCATTTTTCTGTGCACATATCAATGGAAGATTTAGGTTTTCTCCCCGGTTTGACATCACAGTTTGGCTCATTTATATCAATTGTGAAACTTTGCATTAGCATAAAACCACAAAATTGTCAAAATACAAAACAGAAATTGAAAATAAGGTAAGTTGAAAACAAAGGTGCATTTTCAAGGGCTTAAGTAAAATTATTACATTTCATGGACCCTTTAAGGTACTTGAAGTAATTTGATTTCAATAACTGAAAGGCAATGACATGTAGTACATGAGAGGAAAATAAAGTAAGGATACATACCTTTCATGTCGTCACACTGCAGTTTGCGGCCCACTTGAGGCCCAGTACTTGTCACCTGAACTTTTCTTTCACTGCTTTTTCAAGCACAGTATTATTTTTGCGCTTATAGATTGTTTACTTTCTCTCATTTGGATGGAACACATTGGATGCAAACAGCGTGAACATCATTCAGCAGCAGGTAGGCCACTGGTTTATTCTGACTTCCTCAAAACCTGACAGCTGTACAGCGGATCGTTGTGCATTTAGACATGAAGGGCAAAAGTTAAGTTTTCTTTAGCCAACCAGAACAAGCGCACATCGGTTTCGTAATCCTTGACTGTGAAATTGGTGGTCGTCACAGCATTGCTATGTTTCGGTAGTTCTCTACTTTGGGATAGATGAATTAACGGTCCTTTTCCACTCATTGTATTTCTTTGCAGTTTACTTGCTGTGGTTTCAACAGTCCGGGCGAGACCACATTGGCTTCTTTAATCGTCCCTCCCTCGTGCCGTGACTCGTCTGGAGAAGCTTTCAAAGTAAGCCCTTGTACAAGTCTTGGCGGCATATTACGGCTTTTAATACCTCCAAAGCATTGCACTTGTAATAAAAGGGGGGGTTAGAGTTATATAGTCATATTACGAGAAATAGCCTCGCTACCAATGAGCCCGGTGTCAAGGCTTTTCCATCTACAGACCATGCTGCGCAGTGTTAACCATTCCTTGCTCTCAAGGAGTCTCAAGTTAGGTGGTGCCAGCATGCATAAGCCAAATTTCCTTGCTTACTCGTCGAACATGCTAAATCGTCGGCACAGAATTTTCTACTTTAGCTAGCGAGAGTTTTTGGCTCACGGCCATGAAACTGTTTCTTGGCGGAATTCTTCAGGCGTACTCACCGAACAACGCTCGGCGTTGATCACGGCAGCTACCACTGCACTGTGCTCTTTTTTTCCTATTTTGCCACAGATTGATTCAGGTAGTGTCTGAATTACCCAGCTATGGACTAAGAATATGCACAACTCTGTGGTAGTGGCTGCGGCCAGTTCCCATATAGTTGTGTGCAATTTCAAGCCACAGCCAAGTAATTCCGATTCGGCCTAATACTTGTGGATAGTGTCCTTTGGTAGAAAATTGGATACGAGTGCGTGGTGATTTTTCACAGCCATCTAATTCATTTCACTCCCGGGATTACACTGTATTATCATTATTACTAGTATTTTTAAGGTCCAGGCATCGAATTTGAAAACACAAGTTCAGTCTGGGAAACTGTATAGGCCAAAAAGTGAAGTGTTCAATCCAACACTTACAAGAGTGCGGTCAGTGACCACTCTTTGAAAGTGTTGAATACAACATTTTACATGGTAAATCCAGCATTTTTAATTTCAGATTCAGCATTTAAACTGTTAATTCAACATTTTAAATGATGATGTAATAATACCAAGTGGAAACTGTCGAATTGTAACACGTATATTATTGAATTAAATCTTTAGATGTTGGATCTGATATTTAAAATGCTAGGTTAACCTTTCTAAATGATGGATTTAACAATTTCAAAGAGTGGTCACTGACCGCACTCTTGTATAAAGTGTTGGATTCAACACTTCATTTTCGAAACCCAGGATAGTGTACTGTATTTTAATTGACTGAAAAGTCTGAAATACTACCAAGTTCGGTTTTGTTCACTGTCCGCATGGTTGTGTCCTTATAATTCAGATCGGCTGTTACGACAAACTGAAGCAGACTATCAACGAAAATATCGTCATCTCTGCGTCAGTAGCGGGCGCTGTCGCCTTTCTGCAGGTATGTGCAGGAATTCGGAAGAATTCAGTTTTCAGCACCTGTTTCACTATCATGATTGTAGGCGTCAAAAGTTACCGAGGGACAACAGTAAGTTATCGTACATGCGTGCATAGACACATTCATTATATCTGCATTATCACATTTATTTATTTATCGGGAAGTCGCCCAACACAAGGCCCCAAGACGCCACTCAGGGTGAGGGCTAAATAGTAAAGTTGAAGAAGACAACTTAGAACAATTTCGATGTTGGCCCAATAAATTCGATCATTTTGTTCCCCACCCACCGAAAAAATTACCTCCAAAAATTCGAAGGTCAGTCACTGAATCGTTTCTTCTAATTCAACAGATGTCACGTTTTCGTAGCACCCGCCGTGGATGATTTCTGATTCTCATTTTTGTGTATACGTGTATTTGCATTTTTATTGTCCAAAGTCTGATAAATAGCTCGCATGTTCAGCCACATCCGTTTACTGAAAGTAACTGGGTAATCATTCATTCAGGCAGCGGGTAGTGAGCAGAGTTGGGTGCACTAGTAGTGGCAACATTATCTCTTGGGATGTTTGACGACCAAATGTGGCCCAGTCTGTGAAAATGAGTCTTAAGTCGCCAGAACCACTTTTCGAGTTTTCATTTGTATTGTAAAGAGCAAATTGAGTTTTTTGTTTTGATGTATCACTCAGTTTGGTATCCTGATGAAAGTGGATACTCCATGGTGTAAAATGCAGCGGGTTTCTCTTGATTTACACTGTGCAAAATTATTCTAAAGGACTTTTTACTCAAAGTGACTCTGGCCGCAGACTCATTTTCACAGAGTGGGTCACAAATATCTGCCTGTCTTTTTCACGGAATTTTTTTAATTGTTACTACAGGTTGTCAGCATCATTGTCTCCTGTATCCTTGGCAGAGAAGAAAAGCCCACTCGAGTACGGCCAATTCCAGGTCTGAATTTTTCGTTCCTCCTTTTTTCAGCTAATGTGCGTCTTGGAAAAAGGGGGCAATTGCTTTCCTCCCAAGAAAAAAAAAGAGAAATAAAAATAGGAAACAGAGAAATGGAAAGAAAGTGATGAAAGGCGATGAAATTGACCATTTTCCTTGATAAACCTTGAAATTGACCCATTCCTTTAGTAATGGTTTATCAGTTTGTTGCTGATGAGTACTTTGCCCCCTCCTTACGACGCCTGTGTTCCTCGATATATTTGTAACACTATAACTGCAGAGCTAGTCTGCAGTGTAATGTCACCCTCTATTGGCAGAACGCGGAAATTTGGACGGTTTTGAATGCAGTAAAACTAGCCCCTCTGTGTTTTTTATTGTGTTTTTCCCCCCACAGGAGGAAGACAGGCTTGGAGTACAGGTGGCTATGCCTAGGGAGAATGGTTCTAAACTCACTGTGAAGGTCAAACATGCAGGGGAACTCAGAGGGGTTTGCAAGTAAAGTAACTTTCTGGTACATTGAACAAGCCAACAACAGCTTAAAGGTCTGGATGCCCAATGTTGTGGTGTCACGAAACCGAACGACAATAATTCACCGTATGACTGTTAGTCGTTTTATTTAGTCGGACAACGACGCGAATCTTTCTTGGGATTGGAACATATTTTTACAATTGTCTACACTGAAATGAAGGAAAAGTATTCAGCATCCCATTTGGGTTAATCTTGATGAAGGAGTGCCACTTTGTGAATTTCAACATTTCCAGTACTTCTCCTTTAATGCGGGGGAAGGGGTTGCCTTGATGTCATTATCAGGATGACATTGTTCATGTGGGGGGCTCTGTTCAACTTCTGAACAACCAAAACGTATCACTTTGCTCACTGGTCTAAAGTTATGCACTGAACAACAAGTCACTAAAAGACGAGATAATTTGATAGAGAAAAATGTCCACACATCTGTGATGAAGTTCGTAGTCAGAGAGGTGTCTGCCTGAAATGACAGAAAATGCTGCTCAGAAATTTACAAAGATGAATCAGTATTGAGAAAAGGCATCAAACTGCCCTGAAAACCGGTGAAACAGAAATTGAGAACTATGTTAGGCCATCTGGAACAGTATTGAATCAACAGAATTGCGTGAGCCTTTCAAATTTTGTGACAAAAAAGACTTAAACATTTCAAACTCACCAGGTAAGAGTACATGAATATTTGAGAAGTGGAGTTTGTACATCATACTCAGAAATAAAGGTATCATTACCTAATTACATCTGGCATAGTCTTGCAGCTAGGTAAGTGTTCCATGAGCAATTTGAGGTTGCTTCAAGTGTGTTCTGTTTGTAGCTGACGGTGTTTATTGCAGTAATTTTAGTGAGTTACATTGTAACATTCTTTCCAAGCGTGGCTTTTGTGCGATGTGGAGGGAGAAATGATTTGTTTGCTACTTTAATTCTATTTAGATTGAAACTAGGTTGTACTCAGACATTATCGGCATCTTTGTTTTATTTGTCTGATGTGTTGTTTTTCTGCAGTACTTTGAACCGAAATTTGAATCGAAATACCAATTTCCTGTGAGTTATTTATCTAGACAGAGAACGAAAATGTTGCAATCTTTGCGTATCAGATGCATAGCATGAGTCAAACAGGGTGTTTGGAATGTCAAATCGGGGTACAAAGTGTCGCTATTTTGGTCTTTTAAGTGAAATAGTCTTTTTAAACATTATTCTTTGCATATTCATTTGGTTCCTTTTTATTTTGTAATATTTAAACGTGATTGAAAATGCAAACAAAAAATACTGAAAAGATATGTAATCCCGTGTGTAAAGCAGACATAGATTTGTGTCATTTGCAAGTGACAAATCTTTGTATCATTTGCAAGTTACAAATGACACCAAATATTTGGCGAGTCCGTTCACCACAGTGACTTGCTGATAAAAAGACGCTACATCGGTTGAAGCTGAAAAAACTTGACACGAACGTGGCTTATTTGTCTTGGAGAAGTTACGACCGAAATATTCCATGATGTCATTCCATTGTTTCCCCGCTAAAGTGAACTTTCTGCTACATGCGTACAAGTTGAGTTGCATAATAATTACCGTTTTCATGTTCTTATAGTTCCGTGTGTTGGGCCCGAGCTTTGATTTGTTACCTTGAAAGTGATCATGTACATTGTATGTACACGTTGATATAATACGTTGCTCGTTCTTGTATCATGAATTTAGCTTAGAGGAGAGAGCTCATAGAAAATAATAAACACAGAAAATACTGATATTCTTCACACTTTGTTTACTGACTGTTGCATAATATCAATACGTTAACATAGCTTTTTTCCGACCCTGATAGATTGTAAAAAAAAAGTGCTGTTAGTTCCGCTCGAGGCAAAAAACCCATATAATTGGGAAGTGACCCCAAAGTTTCCCAAGCTCTAGGGCGTGGCAGAAAGCTAGCCTGGCCCACTTTGAACCTGAATTGGAAGGTACAGGAAATTGGTCCTGAATCTCTAAATTATTACCAGAGGCACATACCGAAGTGCATCGTTTCTTTCACCGCCCGAAGCAATAACTTCATACATGTACAACTACGTGCGTGACGTGAAATGACCTGACGCGCACACCCTGCATATAAAAACAACGTCCAGAACATTTGCTCAACCTGCACTCCATGGGCTGAGTGCGCGTTGCTTTAGTCGCACAAGGCATGGTGGGAACCAACGTGGCGCGGCCATGGGCGCGGCAAGATCGTACCCATGGGCACGAAGTTGCATTTTGCTCGACTACTCATCGTGAAGGTCAACGGTTCATTAATTTGAAATACGTTTGTCTGTGCTTACAGAAACGTTTATGATGTGTGCAATAATTCCAGACGTGTCGGATAAAGTAACACGTAACACGCAGTGACATTTACCCATATACTCAAATTTCAGTTTAGGTTGCGGAATGTTCGCCTCGTGTGCTGAGCTGCTCAGGGTGCAGACTAAAAAAGAAGCCAAATTACGAATTAATTCTATCGGGCAAAGCCGTTATCAAAGTTGAAATACCTTTAACAAACGGTGTACGCAGAGAAGTCGCGTTATGGATGTTCTATAGAGAAAAGAAAGTGAATACGTCATGCACACAATGAGTGTAAAAGGCATCGTCTAGCGCTTTCAAGCAACGCTCGTTGCGCATTTTTGCGCTCATGTGCGTCAAGTTAATGGACGAACGCAACGTTCTACAAAATGTGCACGATACGTGACATCCCCACAGTGCTACGTGTTTGTGAACCACAGATATCAGAAATTTAACGCATAATTTATTTATGTCTGTGGTGTGAAAGAGTAGACCGGAAATTCTCCGAGAAGTTGGGTAAATGGACTTAACCTTGTGAACTTGAAGGAACGCCCACGCAGCCCATAAATTTGATATTGGGCCTTGTGGTAAAACAAAAACATCAATAAAAAAAAACCAAAAATAGGGCGCCCTCTCCGTTTCAAAAGCAGAGAGGGCGTTCTTTATTGCAGCTTGGCGCTTTCTACAAATCTGAGTAAATTATTGCTTGCTGAAAGTGAAAGAACTATCAGTTCTGTTCCAAAATGGAGTTTTTAGAAATGCAGTCAGGGTGGATAAACCCAGGTAAGTTTTTATTTATAGTCTCACAAACGACGGCGAAATTCTAAGAGAGTCAAGGGAGTAAGGCATGCGGTAGCGGAGAAGAGGGACCACAGTGCTACAATCCCGGTAGCCCCACTACAATAGTGTGGCATGGACTCTCACTCCAAATCGGGAGTGAGAGTCCGTGCCACACTAGTAGTGGGGCCACAATCCTGGACAAATCTCGTTGGGCCTTCAACCCTCAGACCCCCTTTCAAAGTTTCAATGTTGTGTCTGTGCGCGCGGTCTGCGCTCCGGCTGGACATGACAACATTGACCGGGGAGTGGGGGAGTATCCCAACAATTTTGTCCAGGCAGGATTGTCTTGAGTTTACCCATGCCTGTTTTTGTGTGTGTGGTGGGGGAGGGTCTGGTTAGAGTGTTTGAACTATTTCCGGCAATATGGCTGATTTGAATTAAACACTAACTTGAAAAGAACATCAAATGTGCTGAATTCACCCTGAAAACGTGACAGGCAGTGACAGGCATTGTCATGATTGCATTCCTCCACCCTCACCCTACTTCCAGAACTGTAAGGTTTAAACAAACCTTACAGATAGTCATGTACAAACTCCCATAAACCATAGAAAAAGGACACAAAAGATGTTTGAACTGCTCAGGCATTAACATCTGGCCAATTACCGCTTTCTTGCATGCCTGATATGTCCGTAGCCAGAGCGCAGCGAATGCTTGCTACGCACCATCTGTTTCACAACCACAAAACCCCTTTGTACCCTATGATCACCGCCACAAATTGTCGCTGGTAATCTACAACCTTAAAACTTTGTGCACTGAGGTATAAGAGAACGAATATTTATGCTTTTGTCCGTGCTTGATATGATCTCTTGTCAACATCAAATTTAATGCTTGAGCAATGAGCAGATACTTATGCTTTTATGCTGTGTGCCCTGAATCTATATGTGCAGTCATTGCCCTTAATGAGCACTTTCTTCTAGAGTTAATTTGGGACTAAGTAGCCTGGTTGTTCACAAGATTTTGTGTTTTGTTTGAATCATTTTGGCATTTGCGCAAAGGAATATTTTAATGAGACTTCACAATCACTCCCTGTGATGAAATAGCACATTTTGTTACTTAGCTTTATAATGAAAGTCAAACGTTTTGTTGGCTAGTCTTAACCAAATTTTTACCAAGTCTTTGAACAATGATGTATTGGAGGGAGGAGAAAAAAATTACAAACTTTGCATGGGTAATGGAACGATGTATCAAAATTTTAAAAGTTTATTAATGATGACAAAAGTAGGTGTAATATCAGGGATGTTTCTCTCTAGAGCTATTTCCTGGTCACAGCAATAATTTGTATTTAATTGCAAGCAAAAAACTACGAGTATTGCTAGGATATTGATGGCCCCGCTTGTCTGGCTGAGATGCAGGCAGTGATCAGGCATTTTGGGAATGTTTTCTATTATTCGTCTGACTTGGTGCCGACCATCATTGAACACTTTGTGCCAGAGTTGCAACTCCTGTGTCCTTCCTCTATGCATAAACATACATGTATTTTGGCTGTTTTGATTGTGATAACTTACCCTTCCATCACAGCTACATGTATTTGTGCAACCAAATTTCATACATGCCTTCTTGGTGAAGTTAAATGTCAGATGGGAAGGTTAATTCACCTTATATCGTTATTAAAATGGGGAAATTCTTGAGCATTTTGCATATCCACACTACAGAAAATCAGCAGCATGTAGGCCTACTCTCAATCATTGTCAGCTGCATTCCAGCTTGACCAATCGCAACATAACACCTATCTTTACTTTGTCGTTTTCCTGACTCCATCAAAATAAAAGCTGGGCTAAGATTGGTCACTAACATGGAAGCAAATTGGGCCAATCACAGCAGGGATTTCATCTGTGGGTGACGGGGAACGATTAGGAAAAGATGGGAGCTGTGTTGTGATTGGTCAAGTGACCATGCATCCCACTGTCATTGAGAGTACAGCCAAAATGTGTTTATAAACTTTACAGTTCTGGAAGTACCACAGGGCATGAGCGAGGAGGAACAAAGTTAATGATGAGGAAGGGACGAATGTCTCAAAGAAAAGGATTCTCTCTCAACCCACAGTCCAGATGAACCACCTCATGATTTTAAAACCATGGTAGACCATCACGTGGCATTTTGTGAAACAGCGGTAGTTGTTGAAAAGGTAAAGTCATGTGAATGATTTATCCCCATTTTGGCTTGAGTAATCAATGACTAGACTAGGGCATACATGTACATGTACAGTAGTTTGTTTTTTTACCTGTGTTATCTGTTTTCCTCGCTAAGCCATCAAGCTGTCACAATATCATTGTAGATGTATGTTTAGCCGGCAGGCAGCACAGGTCATCTGTCTTTGTGTTCATTCTGTTCATACTTTTTGAAAGAAATCTTGAAAATGTGGAGGTTTTGGCCAAAGAATTATTTGATGTTTGGTGTGGCATGATCTGAAAGGATGGGTTTATTTCATAAAGGGATCAGATCAAATGAAATCAGACTGAATAAATCAGAAGTGGATCCAATTATGCAGGTGTCTTGTAGAAAACCCTTAATCTCATCTTCACCGGTTTACCGTAGCTAATTGAATCAATATTTTACTAAGTTTATGGCTCATACATGTACATTGTAGGTTTTCCCACAAAGTGACCTTTTTGTTTTTCTTCGGGGGAGGTGTTACCAGTGACAAGCCACCAAGCACACCTCCAAATGGCCGCTCAAATATCTCAAGCCAAGGACAGAGGCCCCACAAGGTCTAGCCAGCGGTCACCCCACGTTCAGGCCCCAGACCTCCAGTACAGATGAGAAGTCGGAGGATGAGCTGTCCATAGGGCCAGATGACAAGGACATGTACTGAGAGGAAGACATACCACCTCAACAAGAGCCAACGAAGAGGTCGAGCAGGTGAGGAAGAAATGGCCAAGTTGAATAGAATATCACATTTCTTTCATTTATCAATGCTGTTTCACTGAGCTAGTTTGGTACATGTATATAAGAAAAGACAAGGTTGTCTATTGTTCAGAGTTGTGCTTCATTGAGTATTTATATTAAATGTGATAATTATTATGATAATTATAATAACATTTTGGATAACATCTTTTGACAAACTGGACTGTGAAACAAATCTGGTTTCTTTTAGTGAAACCTTTGTGCATAGCTGAATGAACAGTTCTGTGTGTCTGTGTGTTCCCACAGAATGGTGAGCTGATCCTAAAACATCTGATCATCAATTTCAGGAAGGGACTCCGCCGCAATATGATGTGTCTGTTGGCCATTGACAGACACGTCATCGACCAATTGGTCAACCGACAAGTGGTAAGGTGGTTGTTTTTCATTTATTCCTGGCAGGAGAATGACGTTTGGAAGCAGAATAATGTTGTCAATCCATCACAAGCTCTTTCACAGGACCAGTCATAAGTATCAGGGTGAGCAGTGACAAAGGTGTATGCTTTTGTCACAGTTCATTTGAATAGATTTTGACTTGGCTTATAAAGACTGGATGACTTCATTTGTGCTGGACTTGTGGGGACTTGAGATTGGCTGACTACAACCCCTTTGCAGAATGCGGTTTTTGGGTGTGTGATAAAAGTGCTTCCTTTTCTCCTTCTGTATTTGATCCTAGGCCCATGAGGTGATTGCTCTTGAGATCTTGACCCTTCTATTGGAGAACCCTATCAACAATAATGGTGAGGTGGCCATTGGCTTTTTGAAGGAGAGTGCCATGAAGTTATCAGAAGTCTCACCGAGAGGAGTCAATGGTATGCCTCCACAGAATGGGTTACTGTTAATTATCTCAGAGCAGATATGACTTTTAGTTAGTGATTGGTCAGTCCACTGCAATGTCACTGTCAGCCATTTGGTTTGGCTGTGGTATGCTTGATTCAAGATTGAGCAGTCCAGCTACTGTTACTATGCCTAGGGTACAGAGAATGTGCATTGGCTGACTTCGGAGAGATAGGTTTTAGAGGATTCTCAAAGTCTGTCAGCAAAACTTCCTTTGAGGGTTAAACCGTCGAAGATTTTGATTTATTTTCTGCAAACTCGGAGGATGTGGTGAGGTAGCACGCTGTTTACTTACAAAAAGTGTGACATAGATTCGGCTTTGAGTTGCAGGGATTTTTTTTAATGCACGTTGCCATAACTCTCAGTTTGTCCAGAGATTTGTTTTGAAATACACATAGATATAATTCTCCGTTTGTCCTAATCTGATTCCAGCCATCTTTGATCGACTTCGAAGCATCCTTCATGAGGCACAGGTTGAACAGGGAGTCCAGTACATGGTGGAAGTCATGTCTGCCAACAGCAAAGACGGCTTCAAAGATTTCCCAGCTGTCCAGGTACTTCACACAAAAAATGACAACGGACGTTCATCTGTGCTTGTTTTGACACACCCTTCCTGAAGCCCAACCATGCTTAAATGGTGGCTGGTGGACCCGGCCATAGGGATGGTTGACCTGTTGTATCTTGTTGACATATTAAGTGGGCTTCTGACAACTGTTGTATGTTGTTTGCTTGTAGCAAGGTGTTCAGCAAATATACAGTGAACACTGCAGTGTGACACTGATGAAATTAGGGTTGACTTCTTTTATTATTTTGGATTGATGCATTCTTTGTGTAGATATTAGGCATGTAATTTATTTGGAAGTATATAAGACTTGGCAAAATAAAATACAACAAATGATAAGTTGATGGAATATCCGCACCGACTGGTTTGTATCAGTTTTGAAATTCAGGAGACATGCGTATGGATTCTAGAATCTTTGTCAGAAGTGAGATAGTTAAAGACCCTAGGTTTTGCAACATGAAGCAAAATCATGTTGTGTTACTCATCTGTTTATTGATGGTTGATCTGTAGGAAGGATTGCATCTGGTAGAGGAGTCTGAACAGTGTACCCATCTGCTCACTCTGGAAGAGAACTACTCACCTGAAGAAAATACTCAGTAAGTCTGTGTCTAGATGAATCATGCTTATTTCTCTTCATCTGTTGGCATGCATAAGATGGGGGAAGGGTCACGGTTGATGGTTTAGACTGTGGGCATGATGTGGTGTACAAATGGCATGGCCAGGCAGGCCTTGCCTACATTTAGATTGTCAACCTTATTTTTTTTTTCTTTTTTAGATTGAAGCCTGATGAATGGCAAGTATTGTTAGGCACAGTCAGTAAATGCTTTGATATGTTCATTTTGTGCTTTTTAACCTTTTCTTGGACATTCCTTTGCAAATGTCTTCAAGGAGGACCCCAATTGTTTTGCCAATGACGAAAAGTACAATGCCATCCAGAAGGAGATCCCAGGAGAGGATAGTGACGAGCCAAGCTCAGGGGGTGACAGCGAAGAATCTGACAGACAGGACGAAAATGAGGAAGATGAAGAATGATGAGGTGAGTAAACAGCAGGTGAAAGGTTGTAGGAGATTGGCTGGTAGCTAAATTTTATTTTGGGCGACCAGGTGCAGGTATTTGCAAAACACGTTTTACTATTAAGGCTGGTATGAGTGAAAGATGATGGGTCATCAGGGTAACAATGTCTCTAAACTTTTGTCTCTTGGCTCCATGTGAAAATCAAGACTCTTCTGACAAATCAGCATTATTTACACTCCTGGAAGTGATAGCATTTTTGTTTACCATGATTACCAGGCTTTGGGCATTTAAACCTTGTTTACGTGACTAACAGACTATTGACTTTTGAGGAATTTGGAAATATGGTCATTGCGTGCTCCAGAGCTTCGGTAATGGTTCAGGATCTGGATGTGTTTATACTCTAATAAAGCAGATAGACTGTATCACAATTACCTTAACCCCCAAGGGTATATGAAAAATCGTATTGAAATTGGAGGATTTGGGAATGTTAGGGTTAGAGTGTTGATGACCTGACCAATTAGTTGTTGGAATGACAGGGTTTACTGTTGGCTGCGATATTATTGTCCAATTTTGTGGACAAAAGTAGCTAAGCTACAACAGTCCAATATACTGTGAGGAAGGTCATTCCATACTTTTGTGGTCCAAGGAAAAAGCACAAATCATAAGCATGTGTTCTAGACAGTTTCCATTGATATAAGAACAGGTGCATGTTTTTGAGAAGACGTTGAGGTTTGCTGAGATGATCTTGCTGGTGTATGTCGACCAGAGAATGACTGATTTTGTACATCATAATAAGACGTGTAATAGTGTGTCTGCTTTCAAGGCTGGTCCACTTTAACCCTTCAAGCATGGTGTAATGCTTGATTCTCTGGAATAATCATTTATGCACATTCTTGCAGCAGATATTTGGATTATATCAAGTTTGTGTGTATCTTGCTTGGTGATAGGATACCAAGCAGTAGAGCCATACTCAAGTTTTAGTTGAACAACAGAAAGGTACAATTTGGACTGGATGTCCGGGGTACATGAGGCTTTGGTTGACAGCATTGTTACAAGTATTACAACTATATTACAACTATTTAACTGAGCAGTAGGTAGCCTATCATATAGACACATATTTTTCCTCCTTTATTTTCAGTTCTTTTTATTTTTGACTTTTATCCTTTTACCTTTTTTCTCTGTGATTTTGAGGGCTCCATTAGAAAGTAGCTTGTTACTGAACTGAATTTGAGTACATGTACCCCCATTATATGTCTTTGCTGTCTATGGGCCCTTAAGAGCACAGTGATTGCATACCCAGATATTGTATCACCAAGAACGTACATGTAGTTCCCAATCTACATCTTAATTGTCCAGTAGGGGTCTTGTCAAGTTCATCATACGTGTAGGTACCTGCAAGTCCATCGCACGTCATCCAGTCTTAAGCCAAGTCACAAGTGAACTGTGACAGAGGTATTTCTTTGCGATTGTCGACTCTATTATTTGTGCCTAGACTGATTGATGGGCTTATGGTGGTCCTGCAGAGGTGATGGCAAGTCAATTTTTGCAAGTCCAAGTGAAGTCACAAGTCAATTTTTGCATGTCTCCTAAGTCTCAAGTCATTTGGTCCAGTCACAAGTCACATCACAAGTAATTTGATCACAGGTCAAGTCAAATCACAAGTCAATTTGATTCAGATGTGCCCTTGAGGCTTGGGCAGAAAAGACCAAAGTAGAAGTCGGGAGCCAAACGAAGTCTTAATTATTCTGATTGTTTAAGAATGCAAGGCGTAAGTTGATTGCCAAATTAAAAACTCTAAGGCGTTCGATTGAGTAGTTTTCTGGCTTGCGTTGGTAACAAGACATAATGTGCAAGTCCAAGTCAAGTCACAAGTCAAAAACTGATACATGTAGTTACAACACAAGTCACAAAAATACATGTAGTGTAATGTCCACTGAGCAGTCTTTGGCCAAACTGGGCGATCAACTACTTGAAGCTGAAAATGTGTATGCCTACACTAGAACTCTTGGAGCATACAAGGACTAAGGCCTGTACATGTACTCTAATAAGAACCACTTCACAGAGGCACAAGATTCTGGCTTCCAACTGTCTCTTTTATTTTGATTCAAGAACAAGATAGCCTGGCCAAACTCTGTGGACAATAAAACACTACACCTCATCAAGGCTCATGATATCCGAGCAGTTTCAACATCATGGGCTTACTTCAGGGGTGTACCAATGGAGGAACTATGCAAGGCAGCATGCTGGAAGACCCCATCTACCTTCACCACATGCTACCTCACCGATATTCTACAAGAAGACTCTGCACATGGCAGAGGGGTCCTAACATCGGCCACATCGATGCAGTAGAGTTCCTCATAAAAGTGGCCCACCACTGGAACAACATAACTCCATTATTCGGCGAGTCCGCAATAAGCTTGGACAATTTCTTATTGCTCTGGCATTCTCATTATGCAGTGTGGCCTCGCCGCACCCCCCTCCAAGGGTTCGGTGCTACTCTGCATATTTAGCGACTGGTTGGGGTAGGTTAAAAGCAGAAGACTCCTCCCCCACAGAAATGTGGGTGAGGTCTGCTATTGAATACCTAACCCAAACAGTCAGCACCCTCCCATCCTTCCCTACTTTTGGCTTTGGTTTTAATACCGGAAAAGGACGAATATGGCGGCCATTCCGCTATGCGCCACGGGAATTGAGGGCGCACTACGGTTGATCAGAAGATTTAGCGAATTTAATAAGACGTAAAGGAATTTGCATATTTAGTGACTGTTTGGGCTATGTATTCAGTAGCAGACCTCAACCCACATTTCTGTGGGGGGAGGAATTTCGATCCCTGACACTGCATGTTACAACTCTTACCATTTATGTAATATGGCAGATCAAAAGATGGTAACGGCAGAACAAAGTTGTCCGACAACATTTTGTCCTTTTTTGGTCTTATTTCGTGCTCTGCAAGGTATCACAAAATTTGTGTTAGGCCCCTTTGTCTTTGCTTGGTCTTAGCCCTCATATGTTGCACTTAGCAGTTTCTCGGATTTTTCTTTGATTTAGTTGGCTTTGAACTGGTCTCACAAGTCGGTGACGCACCGGCTTCTTTCAGTTTTGGGCACTGTCTTTTAATGTGGCCGTACTTCTGGCATTCATAACAGTTGGTCCACGTGTGTTCTTTTGATTTGATCCCTTCGAACTACATGTAGTCCCACGTGTCTGAATCTTTATTTTTATCATCTCCGGTTGTTCGATTATTTCGTTAAGCTGACTTTGTATCTCAGTTGTTCCTCGCTCAGGGTCTTCAGGTGTTGGCACAAATTGAACATTGTGCACTTTCTTTGGATCGGCAAGCCAGTGTTTTTTCCACTCTTAGCTATGCCTCTAGTTCAACCGTAGCCGCCACGGCTTCATCCAACATTGATTTTTGCATCTGGATAACCATTGTCCTTATCTCACTGTCATTTAAGGCATCCATAAATGATCCCTTCCCACGCAATCCCGACTGTCGGTCAGCAGATCCATAAAGATCTTGTCAACAAGCCCCCTTTATCCTCAGCCAACACCACTCGGCTTTCCGATGCCTTCTGCCGCCAGTTTCTCAACTGAGCTCAATCCAATTCTTTTTTCCAGCCGGGTCGAACCCCACCTCCAACACCAGGACTATTTTATTGTAGTCCTCAGATGCCTCTTTTGGTAGGCTTCCCAGGACTTGTGCTGTTCCTGTCAACAGGACAGCTAAGTACTGTATTTTTGCACTGTTGTCACAGTCATTTATTTTGGCACACATCTCAAAATGTTTATGTATGAAGTCCCCATGCTCTTCCCGTCATATCCATCTGGTATGATCACAGGCCTTTCATTTGTGCAGACTGCCCCTTTGTTGGTCTGTTTGGTGGATGTCAGCACCCTTCCATTTTTCTGCCGGTAGTACCATTATCAGTGTGGATGCTACACTTACTGATTTATTGTGGTTTTGAATGCTATAGGGCAACCTTGGCATAACAGGGGCACCGTGACTCAGAAATTTTTCTGGGGTACTGATTACCGTTGGCCCCGCAACATGAATGGCTGTGCCAACATTTGTCTTCCTGACAGATCACAAGATTCTCCAAGTGGCAATGCAGGTCTTGGTATGTCCGGTTCATCTGCCCTAGGCGGTACAGTCGCTATGGCTGGCTGCTCAGGCACCGGTGCTGCAACCGTTGTAACGGCTGGTTGGTCTTCTTTCTGTACTGCATCCCTGGAGTGGCCAGTTGGTGTCCAACCAGTGCAGCTACCCTTTGAGCCGCCAGTTGGTCTCCATTATGCACTGCAGTCCCTGGAGTGGCCGGTCAGTGTCCAATCGGTACAGCTGCCCTGGGAGTGGCCAGTTGTTCTAGAACCGGTTCTGAAATACATGGCGTTACCGGTCTGTTTACAAGCTGTACTGTAATGCCTGAAGTGATTGGAGGTTTCCGAACCAGTACTGCAACTGCTGAAGTGGCCGGTTGATTTCTCAGCTGTACTGCAATCTCTGGAGTGCTAGCTTCTTCAGTTTGAGTACAACTAGAAAGTTTTACAACTACT